CAACCCAGGCCAGAAAGGACTTGTCTCATCCCCAGAGGCAGGGCAGCCTGGTTAGCCAGCATCTTCCCAGCCATGACTTTGTGGCAGGTCTTGGGTCCTATCCCCACAACCAAACCACTCTCCCAGGTTAATGACCCCTGCATCTTACTGTGAATGCTATTGGTATAGTTCAAGCCCTGAAAAGAATGGCTGCCTGTGAAAAAAGAGAAAGTACCTGAAAAGCTAAGTCGGTGCTTATGGATCCAATGTGTGGCACCGCAGGGGAAAGAGGTGACAGAGGCCACAATGTCCAGGTCTCACACTGAGATGTGGCCTCCATGAAGTCAGGGCAACTATATGGAGATCAAGGGCAAATTTGGCTCATTAACTCGAAATATATATTTGCTTCTGAAAACCAATGAAACTACATGACACAAATCATGTCACTTTTTTCAGAAATCAATGAGCAATTCATGGAGAGTCCACAGATCTCCAACTTTTGACCTGCTCTTTGAGTTCTTCCTCATTCCTTACCCATCAGCCCTCAACACCACTCTCCACCTCTCCCTCCTGTCTATCCCATACCCAGCATGAACAGAGATAGTGCAGAGTGGGCTCAGATCAGAATATTGGGACATCTCTTCTTCACAGGTTGCATATGCACAGAGTTCCAGGTGGACCTTCAACTCCTGCTTCTTGGTGCCTGTGTTTCTAGGTAGTGGTCACGGTGAAGTGACCCCTCAGGCTTGGGCTCACAGTGTCCCTACATCTGCATTGATGTGCCGGTTCCTTGGATTCATGGGGTCCTCCCATTCCATCAGAGACCCATATCATTGACTTTTGTGGTGATGCTACTGTGAGGAGGAGGGACCCTTAATAGGGAGGCCTAGAGGAGACCTCAGGGTCTGGGATGGTACCCTCAGTGGTTGATGTGGAACGCCAGCCTCTTTCTTCTTAATCTCCTTCTTTCTCACCATCTGGAAGCAGTGTTCTCCACCATCACCTCCCTGCCATTGCCCTCCTGCTCCTCTAACAGAGACCTAAAAGCAATGAGTCCAACCAAGCATGGAATGGAACCTCTGAAACTGAACCCACATATGCCTATTCTCTATGTAAATTAATGTCTCAGGTGTTCTGTTTCAGTGATGGAAGCTGAAAGCACGTTGGCAGATGCAACTTCAGGTCACCTGAGACACTGAAGCCACATAATATTATTGAAGACACAGAAACCACCATGGATATGGGTAGATAGAGGACAGGGACAGTGCCTAAGCCTCCTCTCCTTGACTTGGTTTTCTGGCTGGTTGATATTTACTGACTCTCAATAGGACCATTCCCCTCTCTTCCCCTCTTCAGATACCAGTTCACGTTTTGCTGACATTCAAGTATTCATGGATCAGGTTATTTTCTGTAACTGTACTGAGAAGTGTGTGGTCAACAGGCATACACTTCTCAGAATCAAAGGTGAATGTTCATCTTGAGTTCTGAACTTGTGTCAGACATCTGGAATCTTAGCAGCCTCCGGTAGGGGCCCTGAACTACAGCTGCTGGTCCCCCACAACTGCAGGCAGCACCTACAGGGATTTTCTGATCTTTCCATATCTGGCCTCTCCCTGGCATCCTCCTAGATCTTTTCACCACAATCCTGCCCATCATATTTCACCCCTTCTCCCTGTTCACTCCTATTTGAGTCAATCTATTTTCCTCCATATCTGCCCTCTAGGGTCCAGGTCTCACTGTCTTGTTCACATCATGGAACTCAAGCCACCAGTACATTTCCTGGGCCTCTG